CAGCCGCTCGGGGCAGTACGAGACGGTGGCTGTGAAGATCTTCCCCTGCGAGGAGTACTCCTCCTGGAAGAATGAGAGCCAGATCTTCACCGATGCCAGCCTCAAGCACGACAGCGTCCTGCGGTTCCTCACTGCTGAGGACCGGGGCGCTGGGCCCCGCCGGGAGTACTGGCTCATCACTGCCTACCACAGCCGGGGCAACCTCAAGGACTACCTCTCCCACCACATCCTGAGCTGGATGGACCTGCAGAAGATGGCGGGCTCCCTGGTGAGTGGGGTAGCCCACCTCCACAGCGACTACACCGCCTGCGGCAGGCCGAAAATCCCCATTGCCCACCGGGACATCAAAAGCACCAACGTCCTGGTGAAGAACGAGCAGGAGTGCGTGCTCTGCGACTTCGGCATCGCCATACGCCTCGATCCTTCCCTGACGGTGGACGACTTCGCCAACAGTGGGCAGGCAAGTACGGCCCACCAGCTCTCCCTGGAGGGGACCCTTTGCCAACCACCTCTGGTCACTTCGTGGCCGAAGTCCTTGCCCATCCCTGCTAACGCCTCTCTCCTTTTTGCGGGTAGGTGGGCACTGCCAGGTACATGGCCCCAGAGGTCCTGGAGTCCAGAGTGAACCTGGAAGACCTCGAGTCTTTCAAGCAGATGGACGTCTACTCCATGGCCCTCGTTTTGTGGGAAATGGCCTCGAGATGTGAAGTGGTAGGAGGTAGGAGCATCACACTGGGGATGCCAAGCGCCTTTTTGCTCCCTTCCTCCCTTTAAGGACATGTGGCTCACCTCGTGTTCCCAGTGGTGGCACAGGACCTGATTTGGGCTTGCTTGGGTCCCTGCAGGGCTGCTAAGAGCTGGCGGCAGATCCTCCCCTATGGCTGCCTGCCCTGTGTGCTGTGGCTCCAGGAGGCCAGCCTGGTGGCCAAGCAGCAGGATGGGACCCCAGGGGGACAGCTGGTCCAACCGCCAAATCCCAGCTGAGTCAGTGCTGGCGATGCAAAGCAAACCAAGCAGGAAGGGCCAAAGCTGCTTCCCCCTCCCCGGCCACAAGCAGCTGCTTTTTCTTTTTTTCAGACACCACCAGAGAGTTTATGTTGCAATGGGGACTCGCAAACTCCAGCCTCTGACAGAGCCACGTCCCCCTCTCACTTCCCAGAGCCACATCCTGGCATCTGAAATTGTGTGTAGCAAAACATTTAATTAACTGCCCTGCTCTTCACCCCTGCCTGCCCTTCTGCCTGCTCCCCCTGTCCCTTTTTAGCTCGCTCCAGTTCCTTCCCTACTTGCTGTACAAAAGCCCACAGAGCTGCAAGAAGCTCCAATTTTTGGCAAGAAAGCTGCCCCAACTGCGCTGCGTGCCCCATGCTCGGTGGTGGGAGACCCTTGCCTGGCTCAGATGCCCCGTGCATCCTTTGCTCCCGAGCCAGAATCCCAGAACCTCCTTCCCCACCTGTATTTCACCTGCATTTACATCTGGGCAGGAGCTGGCAAAAACTGGGGTGGCCTCTCACCTCTGCAACGGGGAGTTTCTCTTTGGCCTCCCATGACATGAGGTTGCTCTTCTGGAAGGGCCATTTCTCCTCTAAGCCAATCTATGCTCGCAGCAGGA